ACCATACCTCTCTCTCTATGTTCACAACACATACTCTACCGGGTCGCAGCCCCGTACTACCTATTCTAGCGGGCCATAGCCTCGCACCATCTACACCATCGGGCCTTGGCCTCGCACCAACTACACTAGCGGGCTACAGCCTCGCACCTCCTTCACTGCCGGGCCTTGGCCTCGCACCATCTAGCCTTGGCCTCGCACCAACCACACTAGCCCCTTAGGTTAGGGTGAACCTCGGTTATTTCCGATGTTTAGCACAAATATGACCGCCCGAGAATACAAAGATCAGCATTTTTTTTCATTAGTTTGATTACATCCCCTTTATTTACTAGTTTTACTAACCTTTTCCGTCTTGGATCTCCTCAACTAAGGCCCTGCCGCACTGCCTTTGAGCCTAGCGCTCCCCTGGACACCTCACTGCATCGCTCGCGCTCCTTTTCTCGACACGTCTACTCACTCTGATCGTTCTCCAAAAAAGGCAACAGATCAACGCACGGTTGCAGCGGCGGCCGGCGGTTAAAGTCAAACTTATGAATGGCTAATTGCCCATAACTACGTGCTTGTTCTTATAATACACAGATTATGCGGTTAACGGCTTCTTGCCTTTTAATGTTCCTTTAACTTAATTATAATATCGGTGGCTTCTTGCCTCTTACGAGTCTATTACCTTATACTACTACATTTGATGCTTATAAACTATGAGAATTATCAAATAATACTGCAAATAGCTCCTTGCCATGACCTTGGCGATGCAAACGGCAGCTCCTTGCCGTGAGTTCAAAATTGTGGGGAGGCTAATCCTAGCAGCCGCCTCACACCAGATAGGCGTTACCATCGTTTTAACTAGCAGTGCGTTCGTGGAAACATGCAGCTTGCTTTGGAAGGCATCTTATCAACAACGTCTTACGGTTGAACGTCTTTGCTTTCAAGCGTATTTAAGATACCTGCGACGAATAACCAAATATTGCTTCAAGAGACTAAAATATCTAGGCTTTATTATTGGTGGTGTCAGTCCCAGTGCTTCGTTCGCGCAAAGAAGTCCGCTAATGTTTGGGTACATCAGGCTGGTACCGGCGCTTTTCGCGAGATTTCGCGATTTCACGACCACTCCACTGACCAAAACGCTATAAAAAAATAGCAGCAAGTTTGTGTTGAGCGATGAGACAACACAAGCCGTTGCGCACGCGGACTTTTTCAAGCCCTTCTTTGTGCAGTGCGATGCGTCTCAGTTTGACGTGCCAAGCTCTTTGACCGCCGGCTTAATCGCAAAGGCTCATGTAGATGAGACGGCTGGTCATGGCGGTGTCGTGAAAACACTCGATGCCTTGCGTCGGCAGTTTAACTGACATGCAATGCAATGAACTTCCGCATGCAAGTAGGTTTAGAAAAAGAGGTATTGACTGAGCGACAATTCCAAAAATTGTATATCGACTTTCTAGGTCGACCATTTTTCAAAATTCACGTTCACGCAGCTTTCGGCATCTCGCATATGCGCACTGCAGTCTACGTGCCACAGAGCAGTGCAAGCAAGCGAGATAATCGTACCGTGTTCTCAATCAGAGTAGTGCGTCGAGTAGGAAATAACTCATACTTGACAGAAGATTTGCAAGGGAAAAAGATAGTAGTTTCATGCCAAGGATATATGTGCTTAGAGGAGGGTTGTGGAGAGCCTCACGTTGGGACGGTCTCAGTTTAAGGAAAGGGGCAGGCCGGCCAGATTGGGCACAGACGGAGGTTGAAAATCGGACGCCAACCCCATTGCTCCCAATGTTTCCGTCAGTGACTTTGCGTCTTTGGGAATGCTTGGGTATTGTTGCATGAGGGCGTCTCTCTCTCTCTCTCTATCGATATATCGGTGAGCGTCCCTTTATAATTCCCTTGGCCTACCCGGTCGTTGACTCACCCATGCCAATTCTGGCTATGGGTAGCAATTTCACCGAAAATATGATTGTATGGAGAGGCTTTGGGCAGCAACGATAAAGTCAATTTTGATGAGGCGGTGCAAGACAGTCGGGCTCTGCGCAAACGCACCAGTGGCAGTTTTCTTTTTTTCAAAAAAAAAACTTAGGTAACCCGAAAAATACATTTGGCAAGACGCGTTTAAAACGTTTATTAATAATAACATATTTAATAAAATATTCAAATGGTGCCAAAATAAAATGAATAGCCTGTATAAAATCAGTAGTGCCGAAGTATAGAAATTCAAACTTTAAATACATATACAACCGACACTAAAAAAATACGACACCCGAAACGTAGTAAACAATCCAATAAATAAAAACGGCAAGCGGTTCTGGCAACGAAAAGATCCACACTAAGGATTTTAGGCCGTCCAAGCTCTCGAGCCAGAGAGGCCAGCAGGTTTCCACCCAGACAATGTTCCGCCCCAGCAGCGCCCGTCAGCCATATCATCGGCGCCCTTTTTACTGGCGTTATCCAGACGGATAGACGATGAGGCAAACGAGAACGGGCGAGACTACGCCCCCATCAAACGAGTAAGTTCCATAACGCTCATCCTCGGCCCGAGCAACAGGCAGAGCCAGAAGCAGACTCATATTAGGCCCCATAAAGAGAAAAAACGCGTTTTACCCATAAACTAACTGCTGCATGAGCGACTATCGTAACATACCCGGTTATACTTTATTTGCGTGGGTATCTTGTTTCCCATTGGTGTAAGCTACTGACAAGTAACTTTTATGTTTGTTCTTGCGGCCACCGATAATAGCATTTGGCAAGTTTCTCCGCTTGTTACGATCGTTGGAAAAGATTGTTGAAGGTGTATACTGTAATAAAATGAAATTTTAGAAAATAAGATTGATTGTTATATTCATAAGATTATGGAGGGGAGGAGAATGTCCACGTCGTTCAGATAAGTGCCGTCTTACATATGAAATTCAAGGGTGCTGAAATGCGAATTAATTCGATGTCCGATTTGTTGTAATTGGGTTTTATTAGTTTTATTACCTTTGTTTCACGTAGTTTTGCCGCTGGCCTTTGTGTCCGTTTTGGAATCAGCTGTTAAGAGATGTGTAGCTTTGGTGAAGTTTTTGTGCGTATGAGAGTGCTGGCTTATGAGAGTACTGGCTGGACGGCGTTGACCCTCGACTGACAATCCGACAACAAATTTTGTTAAGGAAATTTGTCTATTTTTAATCACGTATTATAATAGTTTCGATATGGTATAAATATGTCGCATAAAAAGCTTATGTACGTCTACTATTATATATATTCTCAGTTAATAAGCTCTTTAAATTTATAATCCAATAGCAAAAAATTCAAAAAAAATTCTAGTGTTTTTGTGTCTATTTCCCTGCAAATTTAGATGTTAACAATTTTCTGGTCGCAGCTTGGTGTTTTCGGTTGGTGCGCATTTTAAAAAGCCTATCTCGCCTAGTCTATCTCACTCCAACATACGTCACAGCCCCTATGAGCCAAAATTCCATCTCTTAAATTATTATACCAACCCCGTAACAACGATACGTTTACTCCATAGGAAGCGAGATAGGTCATACACATATTTCCCTTTTTTGCTCTTCACTTTGACGAGTAAAAAGGCAGGCAAAGTCGGGTCGAAGAGAAAAGCAATAACAGGGAAAATCTGCCCGAAACAAGAGAAAACACTATACTACAAAACTAATGAGAGGGTAGGGTAGGTTACTAGCACTTATCCATGAGTACTGTAGTGATTTTGCTGTGAGCTCATTGAACTTATTTTAATTCGCTTTAAATGCGTGGTTCCGTTTTTATAAGTAAGGACAATACTCAAGAGAAATTTTTCAATACAATATTAATTTTTAAAGATTTAATATTAATTATATACTAGCAATAAATAATATATTTTTTTTTTGAAATGCAAGTTTGCACAACAATTTCTCATACAATTAACGATTAACAATTGAATATACATATTAACATTTGGAGAATTCATCAAAAGTTACATTAGTTGCATTTGTCTTATTAGCTTAAAAAATGAGAACACATCAATTGATTCTCTGATATACATATTTCATACAGCAAATGTGCAATAGTTAAAAGTGTTTTTATACAAAAACATTAGTTTACACTCCGACTGGGGGCTAAAGCATGCAAGCGCCTTATTTGGTAAAGTAATTTAGAAAATCTTAATCTTCATTTATACAAGAGAACATTTTAAACCGGTCGTTTTTAAGGCATTACATATGTATATAATATATTGTAGCCTGGCTCAGCGGACTCTGATGTTTGTATAGCCTGTAACAACAGATAAACCTACGCAAAGTATCACAAGGATATATTTAAAACTGAGGGACTGGTTTTTATAGAAACAAGCAGTCAAAAGAAGAGTATTATGAGTATTACAATTTGTGTTGTAGAGTGTAATCGACCATCATAATGGAAACGGAATGCAATAGCAATGATAGCAGTAGGCGGCAGCGGCAGCGACGTTACGTTCGAAGCGCCTTATGTATGTATAAATACTCAGAGCCAAACGCGACTGCTTTCATTCCCCTGTAGTGTTTAAAGTGACATGAAAGTGGCGACATTGGTGCATTACAAAAAGTCATGTATCAGCATGTCCAATCAAGCAACAGAAATCATATTTATGCCGACGGTGAGTGGAGATGTACAAGTTTGATAAATATTACATATGTACATAGTTGCAGTTACTTTGGGTTCTGCATACAATTTGGATTTTTTTTCGTGTTTCTTTTCAAACTAATGTGAATTTTTGGTGCAATATACATACATACATATATGTCGCGGGTTAAGTGGCAGATATTACAGTTGCATAGGCGGAGAAATACGGTACAGTATCTAATGTATTTTTGGTTTGGCTCTTATAAGAAAACATTTATTAAGCACATGCATGCATAACAAAACGTTATGCTTTACCTAGGTTTACATACATATATTGAAAATAGCAAAAAAAATCGGTTTCAGTCCACTGGCAGGCAGACAGGGCTGAAATAAAGGCAACTCATGCGCATGCGTTAGACAAGGAAAATAACGGGAATATATTTTTTTTTTTTGTGGGGAAATTTTCTCTTCATTGTGTGTAGATTCACACATACAAAAGTGCTTTCGAAACAGCTGTTTAGCCTTATGTATGCATATTGCTGGCTGAGCCTTATAAAAATGCAACTGACAGTCGACCCAACATCAGTGCAAAAGTGACAACACCACCACCTTTACCGGAGTCACTATTACCATGTATTTTAATTGTCTGCCCCCTCGAATTCCAGTAAATAACAAAAAATGGCGGCGTCGAAAACAGCTACATATTTGAGTAACTAAATAATAAATAATACAAAAAAATTATATATATGTAAATACTTACAATGTACACAGCTCAGTAAATATAGAAAGCTTTCTATTTAAATATAATTATTATTCAAGCATATTTATGCACATATGTACATATATGTACATGTACACATACATATGTGCATAAGCTTGCATATGCATTATATTTAATTATATTTTTGGTGAAATTCGATAGTACCCCATATACAGCACATAGGATTTGCACCAAAAATGTAATTAAATATATGTACATATATGAAAACATACATATGTATGTACTTAAACACTGGCTAATTTGCCCCATAGAGTCAGAAACTTTGTTTATAAGTATGTATATGCTAAAAACATCTGTATATATGTATGTCCGTACATCTGGATATAATTAAAAACCAAATCATAGTTAACCACTTGGTGGGCAGATTGTTACGCAACGTATCAGTTACTTAGTACTTAGTAACAATGCCTGGCATTTAGCACCAAGTCGATGAGGGACGTCAGTGTATTTAAATTAATTTAGTTACATTCATACAGTATGTCAAGAATGAGTTTACACATTGAATACAAATATACTTTTTCATATATTAGACTAAAAATATGAACACCCGCCCGACATTTTTAACTTGCTTTTGGGAATTTATAGTTAGTGGTGCTATTTTTAATGAAACAGTAATATCAAAATGCAATTTTAACAACAAGAAACCAAAAAAAAAAAAAAAACACATACAAATATGACTCAGTGTGACTACTGTCAAGAAACTCTACACATTCTTTTCCTTCTCCTTTTTTTTCAATATTCCAAGAACAACGTTACATTTACCGTTATGTATTCTTTGCTTTGCATTGTTTTCAATGCATTTCATTTTCATTCGGCGATTATTTTTGATGATATCACGTGCTTTGAGAAGCTTTTTGATTTTTAAAAGATGCCAGGCAAAATATTATCATTTGAAGCTGTCCAGCTTATATTCAATAACCACCAGATGGCAAAAAGTGTGTTTGAGCTATCAGCAATGTTTTCTGTTACACGGAAGACTATACACAACGTCTTAAAACGCATTCAAAATGAATGTACGTTGGAACCCAAAAGTGGAGGTGGACCTAAGCGTAACATAGCGGAGCGTACAGAGCGTTAAATGATGAGGAAGGTGGCTTTAAATCCTCAGATCTCAACAATATACTGAAATAAATAGTTCATTCTCATTGTTATTAGCTTAAAATTTTTCATTTTTAGACAATGTGTGAACTCATTCTTGACAGACTGTATGTAAGTAGTGTACCTACATATAAACAAACACATACATATGTATATTTATATGTAATATTAGTATAGGCATTTCCATAAAACGTGTATCATGACTATTATCTGAAAAAAGTTATTTATTTCATCTAGAACACAATATTTAAAAAAAATAAAACATTTTAAAAAATTGTCAGCTAATCTATTTGTTATTGACAATTTTTCAATATAACGGCTTTAATTAACTTCTTGTAATTCAGTACTTTAGAAACTTGCATACTAGACATTTTTTAAATGCTTTAATGTCCCAAAATTTTTCTTTAACAACAACAAAAAACCAATAGATGGGTAATTGATTTTTTTATTCTTAGGTAAGCTTAAAAATATAAAATTTTTTTTTTTTGATATTTTTGCTTAAGTTTTGAAATTGTTTATACTAGCCTCAGATAATAGATTTTATGGTTACGTCCACTGGGATCGTAGGAATTCATATACCTTCAGCAGCTTAGGATTATATAATGAAAAAAATTGAATGAAGAATAACAAGCTCCGGACTCAACAAATGTGGAGAGTAGCCTGTTAAAAGTTGTAATTGAACTGCGGGTGAATATTATGCTATCTAATTATTGATTTTTATGAAGATCTTTGATAATCAGTTTAAAGTCAATCGGATCACTTACCATACAATGCATAGATACACCAAACAGCGTTTTTATCGTATCACAATTACCAAGTGAGAGAAGTGAACGTACCGACCAAACCATACCTCTCTCTCTATGTCCATAACACATACTCTACCGGGTCGCAGCCCCGTACTACCTATTCTAGCGGGCCGTAGCGCACCAACACTAGCGAGCCCTGACCTCGCACCAACTACACTATCGGGCCTTGGCCTCGCACCAAATACGCTAGCGGGCTACAGCCTCGCACCTCCTGCACTGCCGGGCCTTGGCCTCGCACCATCTACACCATCGGGCCTTGGTCTGGCACCAACCACACTAGCCCCTTAGGTTAGGGTGAACCTCGGTTATTTCCGATGTTGAGCACAAATATGACCGCCCGAGAATACAAAGATCAGCATTTCTTTTCATTACTTTGATTATATCCACTTTATTTACTAGTTTTATTAACTTTATCCCTCTTGGATCTCGTAAACTAAGGCCCTGTCGCACTGCCTTGGAGCCCTAGCGCTCCGCTGGACACCTCACTGTAATTGAAGTTGCGCTCTCGAAGGCGGTGTTGAGCAACAGATCAGAAACGCACGGTTGCTGCGACGGCCAGCGGTTAAATTCAAACTTAACTCAAACGGAGCTCCTTGCCCTTAACTAGCTTCAACACATCGGCACACTGCCTTAACTGTTCTTATTACTAATACAATGTTTATATACTATACAATACTTATATCCTATAATTATAATTATAAACTGTGGTGTGGCTACCTTAGTGGCCGCCTCACAAACCTCGAGATCTACAAACATACATATGTTTGTGTTGTGTGGATGTGCGCACAAGTCGATCACGGCGTTTGTCGCGAGCCAGAGGTTCTTTCTTCAATTGTGTGCTTTTTGTGCCGGTGGTAGCAATAGGCACACACATTCAATTGCTATATCATGTATTGCCTCGTCCAGTTAGGCATAATGGGAAGAATGTGATCTATATTTATTAAAAGAACAATAAATTGACCTAAATAAAATATTTATATTTATTTTCTGTTAACTGTAGGGACCTATTTTGCGTAAAATACAAAAATATCTATGTCGTATTTCTGCAAGGGTAATTCATCGTCGCCTTTTCGAAGAAATTTAAGAAAAGACCAAAAATTTACAATGTTAAATTTTGCGACTTGCTACTTGTGCACATGCACACTCTTTGATTAAGCAGTTGTGTGATATTTAAAAAAATGGTCTGAGACACGCATGGCGCTCATTCGTTGCGATGAATTGTGATACGATGAAAAGCTGTTTGGTGTATCAACGCATTGTATGGTTATGATCGGACTTAAACTAAACTTTCGCACATACAATATTTACTATACCATACCTTTCCTACCCATTGCGATGATGAAATTGATTTATTAAATTTTCGAAAATTAAGAGATAAGGTAGATTTTCTTAAATAGGTTTAAAGATGATCGAATGAAAATCTGACTAATTTTCTACAAGAGCTTTCCGCGAATTTTCTGCCCTTTTCTAAAATCGCTCAAACACACATTCATTTATTTTTATGCGGAGATGTGTCAATAAGGCTTAAGTAAAACGAATGAAAATTAAAATTTCGTTAGGAAAAATTTTTTTTCTTCAAAATATGTTAAATACATTTCGTATACGCTGCGCGTGTTCAGGTTATCACACCACCTATCATATGGTTTCGGCTCAATATAAGCCAAACTAAAAATTAAAATTTTAAAGTTTTTGTTGGTTATAAACTTCATAACAACTCTCAAATGCATAAAACAAAAAGTTCACTTTTGGTCATTAAGTAAGCTGATTCCAATTTTTTTATTTTATTAAAATGTGAAGCTTTACAGCCATGAACTCATAAGATCACTTATATATTTAGTCATTATAAAGTCTTGCAACAAATAATGGGTCGATCCTCCTTTGTTGAGAATAACCCTATTTATAGATTCAATTGGGAAGCAACTTGTATAATTTTTCAATATAATCCAAGGTAATAGGTGACTGAGCGCGCCCTATTCCTTTAATATATATATGTTTTGTACTTTTTCCAGACTCGCAAACATTATCAACCAGTCCCACACGTTTTCTATTATAATTATGTCAATGATTAAGGCGGTCACTTCATTATACTGGTATTTTGGGGCATAATCCATCCGACGGCGAAGTGTGGATCGGAGCGTTGTCATGCTAAATATGCTAGTGCAATTCAGCTATAATGGGTTTGAAAAGACGAAAAACTGTTGCAAGTATTCCCTTGTAAGTTTTTGTATTCACGTTGGACGCAAAAAACTGTAATTCGCATGAAATTAGGTGGCTCACCACTCCACTCGGCTATGAAGGCGATCCAACTTGTGTTCTTCCTTCCATTTCATCCGAAAATACAATATAGTGTCAATTTGAATACCAATTCAATCTGAATTCCACGTCGTGGAAAGTTTAGGCGCATTTCCTTTCAAGCTACGAAAGGAGCAGGTTTCAGTCCCTTTAAATGTTGATCAACAGTGCCAATCAGAATTCTACTGTTTCTAATTTTGTTCGACATTCCCTATTGAATATTAAATTTTTTTTCTTAATTTTTCTTAAATTAAAAAATTATTGTTTTCACTATCCTAATCTTTAAAAGAAAAACAAAATTTATGTTGAATAGGGCTTCACTTTTATACCATTTTAAAGCGTGATTTTTTCCTGCATGCTCCTAAAGTTCCAACAAACTGTTGCGCGCTTGAAATATAATTTGTGGGCGACAAGTTGGTGAATCCTGGTTCATAGTTCTGTTGCGGCAGCTCGGTACTGGTTTCACCACCTTAGGTACTCTCGTTTCACTTGCTTGCTATTCGATTTAATGCTTGAGGACCTTTAAGCGACCCTTTTTATATCGCTGCCTGAGGTAAAGTCACGATGTTTGATTAATAAGCTTTTATTTATGCAAAAACTTGGGCAAGGAAGCAATACTCTGTCTTGACAAGACATCCGCCGACATGCAACACATTTGCACCACATAGATTTCACGTCAAACTATAGCTCTAATATAGTCGACATGCGGCTTTAACAATGGTATCTGAAGCA